TTTTGTGCCCGCCTCAGGATCGCATTCCTGCTACCCGCCGGGTGTGGCTTAGGCAATTGAATTGGGTTTGCCATACCCCCAACCCCCCCCCCCCCCCCCCCCCCCAGGCTGACATATCCTTTATTCTGACAATTGCAACCCTAAATATATGACCCCCACAGTCTCCGATCGTACCCCGCGATGGATCTCGATAAGCCGACTGCTAAGTGTTTGAGTTAAGTCATATATATCAGCGTATATATTGCATGTAGCTGCAGAGATCTCGAAACATCGGGCGCACCACAACCTGTTGTAGATCGTTGATCATTCAGTGCTGCGGTATCACCCTAACAACAAGATGGCTGCGCCGGTCCGTATTGATATACTGCTGTACGGCCTCGGCGCGTGAGCACGGCCCTCCATTACCAAGCGAAGCCCAGAGGCTAACAGTAGTATTAGTGTTGGGTCTTTCTATGCATTCATCCTTAGCCGCAACAAGAATGTACGACTGACAGTTGTCGCCCGGTCAAATTATGATGCGGTAAAGGCCAGTGGCCTTAGTATCACCAGCGAGAACCACGGAGAACATAAAGTGACACCGTATAAAGGTGCTTATGCGCAATCCTAGATAAAATTTATATAACACACTGCTGACGTAGGTGACTAGTGGTGAAGACCCCCGCGGAAGCTGGATCTACTTTTGACTACGTCGTTTGTGCCCACAAAGCAATCGACCAAGCATCCGTCCCCAGGCAGCTTATTCCAGCTGTAGATGAAAGGGAAACTACAATTGTCATCATCCAGAACGGCGTTGGGAACGAAGAGCCATTTCACGAAGCGTTTCCCGGCGCAACTATACTATCCTGTGTGGTTCGTAACCCTGTTCACTACTGATGTGATGCGGGCACTGACGAAGATCATCTGGGTAGACTTGGGTTGGAGCCAATCAGCCGCAGCCCGGCATCGTTAAACACACAAAATCAGAGGACATGCAAATCGGCCTGTTCCGGAACACGTCTCTCGAGGAATCGCTGGAAAGAGAGCGCTTAAACATATTCACGACACTGTTGGCAAATGGAAACACCGTTTTCCAGGTTGTGCCTGATATCCAGGTTCAGAGATGGGAGAAGGTGGTTTGGAATGCGGCTTGGAACTCACTCACTACTTTAACTATGCTAGACACACATAACTGGCTCAAGTCTTCACCCGAAGCCACGCCACTGACTCAGAGGCTGATGCGCGAAGTTATCGACGTTGCTAATAAATGCAATGTGCCGCTTGAGTATTCCCTGGCAGATCGTCTAATCAATAAGATTTTGGGGATGCATACCATCGGAAGCAGCATGCAGGTTGACGCCAAGAACGGAAGGCCAATGGAGGTAGAAGTCATTCTTGGATACCCTGTCAGGAAGGGTAAAGAGCTAGGCGTCAGTATACCGACCTTGGAAACCATCTATGTCATCCTAACGGGGATGAATCGAAGATTCCTCGGGTTGGCGACTCTATAGTTGGACGAGAATATCAAGAGAAATCAATGAGCTATGCGTCGACTCCATATTCAAGCAGCATTTGTACGCATGAGTAGTCAAGAGATGAAGATACCAATGAAGATCCTGGTACATATTGAAATGGTACGGTGTGCACTCGTCAGTCGTATAATCTTCATTGGCAATGATTCTTCACACAGTAGGTGCGTGACCAACAAGATAAATATCAAGTGTACCTCCATACGACGCGAAAAAGGGTGTCTCAGTTTTGTTACCTAATTATAGCTTGATGCGCCGAGACACCTCGCTCTCAGCTCGCTCGCTATTAACCATCTCGGGCACTAGTTGTTCAACAGTAGTGGCCCCGGCTAATGCCATGCTTGTCTCAATCTCAACCCGGAATAATTGCAACAGTCGCCTGACACCGGCCTCTCCATACTCGGCCGTCATAGAATACAGAAAGGGACGCCCGATACCGACAGCCGAGGCACCAAGCGCCAGTGCCTTGAGTATATCAGTCCCCCGCCTAAACCCTCCATCCACGAACACTTGAAACTTATCACGAATACTTGGCAAGAGAAGATGCGGTGCATACCTTCGAATCTCCAGCAGTGTTAATATTGGGGCTTGCGCCCCATCGAGCGATCGTCCTCCATGGTTAGACAATACAATTCCTTGCACCCCAAGGTCGTACGCAAGCGCGGCATCCTCAACAGTCTGCGACAGGCCTTTGGTCAGCGATCTCTGCTTGTATTAAGCATAGAAGGTAAAGGGGACCGAGTATCTTTGGAAAATGAAGGTGTAAATCAAGGTTTATGGGAGGCTTCGAGACACTGACCTGGACTCCTTTAAGTACTACAGGCATCGACGTCGCCGCCCGTATCCATTTCAAATCTTCCCAACCGAGCATAGGGTTGAGCAGGCCCATCGAGCCTGCCTTGGCCACGCCCCCCGATGATACCTCAACGCCATCGGCAACTTTGATTCGTTCGTCTGCCTCGCGCCTGCCAATAACGGGTGAGTCTACCGTCACAAATAGCGCTTTGGCTCCGAGAAGCTCGAGTTTCTTGATCATGGCCTGGGCTTTAGCCCGATCTCGGGTGGTGTATAGCTGGAAAAACAAAGGCTGGTTGGCCATTGACCGAGCCGCGAACACAGATTCGTGTGCAGATGTTGTGGGCATACAATATATAACCCCCTCTTTACCAGCAGCATGGGCAAGCACCGATTCAGCGTTGGGGTATGCATAACGGCCAAGACCCGTGGGGCTAATGTACAGGGGAAGCGATGAAGGATAGCCCAATACCTTGACAGCTGGGGAGACCGGTTCGACAGGACGAAGAACACGGGGGCGGAATGTGATGATTCGAAACAGGCGACGTGTATCCATAAGGCTCACTTCATCCTCAGCCCCTCCAGCGTAATAAGCCCAGCTTGTCGGTGAGAGATAGCCCTTGGCAACGACCTCAAAATCATCGATATTGATCACAGAGTGCAGCAGAGGGCGTGCTGATTTGGCTGGCTTGTTCGTGGTCGTAGCTGTTGCGTCGTGCCTTAACTTTTCTATACTTCCTGGGAAAACCTCACCCATATAGTTTGATGCTGGCAGCATAGATTTAACTAATTCGGCACCGTGGGCCTCGCTGTAAGCCTTTGTAGCATCTCGGCCGGCATATTTGGCAATGACACCCGCACCTCCCGGGTGTTCGACGAGGAAGTCTGACCTGGTCAATTTACGATCTGTCGAGTGATGCACTCTTCTTATGAGTTACCTGACACATCCCATATCTTCCCATTTATTACCACCCAACAATCCTTCTCGGTGCTATGCTTTGCAACCTCTGTGCCATACATTACGGCCATCTTGATAGATCTTTCTCGGGGCTAAACGGCATAATGTTTTCAGCAACCTGGAATTTGAAATCCTTGGATTCTCGAAAAGTCAGCAGAGGAAATGCAGATTAGATCCGACGGTCAAAGAGATCACTCACAAGTCCTGGATCTCGTGGTAGGAGCAAGCAAGGGCAGGGAAGTCCGAAGTCAGGATCCAATCCCGTCTCCTGACACTCGAGAGCTGGGTATATGAATGTAGTCACAGCATCCAAGCTAAGAATATGTCTATTTCTTCACCGAATTCATTACCTAGATAAATTCCTATGTGAACTAATCCCTGCAGCCGAGTCGCCTCCGAGAAAATGACCAAAGTCCTGATGGGCTTAGGGATCAATGGAATTAGTGTGCCTAAATAGACAAGACACGGAAAATGACTTGAGAATCCAACTAGGCTCTTCCTCCCGCACCCCGCGTCCGAATGCCCCTCATGCTGGGGGTTTGAGAAGAAGGGCGGGTTTTTGCCCAAACGCTCAAGCATACAAATCATAAACGTAGTATTCGATTTCTAGATCTCCTTGATAGGATTTTTTTATAGTAGAGCCGTGGGTAGTGAGGAATAGCGACAATGACAGTGATTTCGTCTCTGGTTGGTCGTCTACTTCGTTCCGAAAACCGAGCATCTATGGGAGATTAGGATATGTAACAAGCACCACCGGTGGCATACCAGGCAAGTAGTGAATACAATAGGTTGACTACGTGTTAGAGGCCATGTCCGCAGGGTTCTGCATTGGGGGGGGGCAGGCAGGCAACAATCCCCATGGGCACAATGTAGGCATTGACTAAAAAACGAAGAGTGGAGGTTGGGATGGGGCGGTTCCCATCTCCCCCGGCCGGGAATTCAGGTACACGTATCTGAACTTCAACCAATATGGCTTAGGTCAGCGGTCTGCTGGGCTAATACCCTAAGGTTAGCCTAGCCCATGAACGGGCCCGTTCCCAGCGCAGGAAATAACATGCGACATATGGTCATCAGACCGTTGATGACTATGACTCGTGGAATACCGGCAGCGTTGCTTAACCCCTCATTCCTTCATGTTGCCTGAAATCTGTTATATCATCTGCCATATACAATATGTATCGATTTGGGAGAGAGATTTCGTAGATTTTGCGGAACACTGAGGGCAGACATCTCTTTCAGGATGCCCCTTAGTCTAGGGCCTTTACTACAACCTCCCCACCTTACCTGGGCATGATTGCTGTTAAACATCTACCGTGGCCATGCAACTGCTCGTGTATTCTGGAACTGCGACAGCCAATCTTCTTGATATGGCGAAGATACGTACCATCGAAGAACGCCCTCAGTGCTGGCACTAGCTATAGAACCAGCGACTCGTCCTAGGACACAAGATGACAGTCCAGCAGTAAAAGCACTTTAGCTTCTGGAAAACCATACAAGTCATATGATAATAGAAGAGTTATCATATCGCCCGGGGTCAATTAGAGCGATTTTGCGCGGTGGTTGCTCATCAAAAGTGTGCCGATTTCCCAATGTCGCCGACTCTTTAACGTATATCTGATTTGGCTGCCAGAATAGAAGCGGGTTTTTGGATCGGTAGGTCAAATGGTCTACTCATTGATAGTTGCAAGCCAAGTGTTTGTCCTTTTGCTATAGCTATACTGTGAGTACAATATAGTCCCTACAAGGTCCTCCACCCAACGCCCAGAAGTAGTTTACGTAGGGATTACTATACACACCGCGTTACATGGTTGGAGGAGTACTTATATGTAGGATGACCCGATATTTCCGTATCCAAGTCTACCTGCTCAAGAAGGTGTGTGGCGTTGAAAGGAGGATGGATGATTATTGCAGTCCTAATGTAAAATCATGCCCCTTGTTTTGATGAACAGTATTCGGAAGCACCCGCTTGTTGCTAAACATGGCGTGTTACATTGCACTGCAATGCAAGCATGGAAAGCTATGGCCAGAAACGGCCTTGCACAGCTTGCAGCTGCATGACATTGACACATAGACGCCGTTGCCTCCAATCGGATCCCTTGTTAAGACTCAAGTTACGCGACGTACACATGTAATAAGCGATGGTGTCGAGAGTATCAACTCCGAACTGCCAGCTTTACTGATCGTGATCGGTGGTCCCTCCTCAATTTTCCTATTCAACTCCGTTTCCCCCAAAGTTTCTCTCATTTTCTTCCCTTGTCCCAGAGTGGCGGCTGTCAGGTCGGAGCCTTGGAGCTTATAGCTGCAATGGTGGCTTGCTCAAGGGTAGCACAGCATAACCGACCCGGTTGCCTGGGACCCCAGATGCCAGCAATAAGCAGGATTAATTACTACCTACAATACCTAGGTATGTAGAGGATGACAACTGTGATTCACAGGTAAGAGCCACGGTGTCGTCGTTATGTGCTGGTTATTGGGCAATAACCAGGTTTTTGCCTGCGTAGCCCCCGGATGCTTCCCAAGAAATCCATTATCCGGGAGATTCCTCCTTCCTTTTTTTTTTTTAATTTTTTTATTAATTTTTTTTTTGGTTCTCGGACTTTTCTTCCCCGCTCTCGTCTACGGGCCGTTTCCAATCTCCAGAGCGGGGGCGGAGCCAAAAGTGGTGGATGCTGGCGATCCAGTGGGGGTCATGGTGACGGTAGCCTCTTGTCTCCGCCCTTGCAGACAAATGACCCTTGCTACCGCTGCACCGGTTCATCCACTCTGGAGGTACCTACCTCAATTGCATGTACGTAGGTAGTGATCGTTTATTAACTGTAGGTACATTAGACGGTACCGTAGGTACTGGGTGTCATGACATCCAAGCAGCTCGATGGATAGGGGCATCTGCCAATGGAATGACAACGAGGCGCCTATCTGCTATATTACATTCCTCTCTGAGTCTCTACCATGCTGTTGTCGACCTTGACGGACCCGCCTAGGTCACCTCACCTCCAAGCTAAGGCAGGGTAGGCCATGGGGTTGTGGGCTCAGTCAAAGTGACCCCTTCCCCTTCCCCCCACATACGCACAGCAGGCAAAACAGGAATGGGGGAGGAAAAGATACGTGCGATACCTCCGCCCATTCTCCGCCCATCGCATTGGCGAACGAGACAAGTTGATACAGCAGAGCGAGAGAGAAATGACATAGATGGAAATGGACTTCCTAGCCGACCAGAGATGAGCTGGCCAAAGCAGCAGTTCCATCCGCCCCAGCCAGGCCGATAAGAATAGTTGGTCAGCCGATTGGCCTTGTGGTGCCGTCTAACAACAAACATGCTTGCTGTCATCTCATCTCCAATCTTCGTTAGAGGGTCTCGAAGCGACTAGATTAGTTCCTTTCCCTTTTAAGGGGACGATCCATCCGTCTCTCCCCATTCTCTCTCGTTTACTATCAATCCACGATCCATTCACCTACATAATTCACTTAAGACGTCCGACTGACTACTCGCCGAACACCCTCCCAGCCACGGTTGAGAAACTGTCCCCATTCCTCGCCTATGCGCCATACATCTTATAACTTTCAGGCCATTCACCTCAACTAACATATCCTCATCTTACCCATTGCGGCAAAATCAGCAACATGTCACCATCTGCCGAATCAAGTTCTCAGGCGTACAGCGCCCCGGGCTCCCGGTACCCTCTAGTTCCAGGTTTCTATGTCCCGACTGTCGCCTTTTTCATGCCTGAGGACACGGTAGATGAGTCTACCACTACAGCGCATGCGCTTCGTCTGGCCAAGGCTGGAGTCACAGGAATTGTTACCCACGGTTCCAATGGTGAGGCCGTCCATTTAGATCACCAGGAGCGCTCGCTCATCACCAAGCTCACCCGCAAGGCGCTTGACGGCGCTGGATATACCAACATGCCCGTCATTGTCGGCTGTGGTGCTCAGAGCACGCGAGAGACGATTCAGCTATGCAAGGAAGCGGCAGAGGCTGGGGGCTCTCACGTTCTTGTCCTCCCCCCGGCCTACTACGGCGGGCTCCTCTCGTCTGATCTCATCAAGGCTCACTTCCGAGCCGTCGCCGACGCATCGCCTATCCCCGTCCTCATCTACAACTTCCCCGCTGCCTGCGGCGGGTTGGATCTCAGCTCAGACGTCATTCTTGACCTAGCCAAACACGCAAACATCCAGGGTGTTAAGTTGACGTGTGGCAACACCGGCAAACTCGCCCGCGTCGTTGCCGGCACAGCTGGCACGGAATTCCGCACGTTCGGTGGCAGTGCTGACTTCACCGTGCAAACCCTAGCCGTTGGCGGTCACGGTATCATAGGAGGGTTGGGCAACGTTGCCCCGGTGGCGTGTATGGAGGTTTACAAGAGATGGCAAGCCGGCAAGCAGGACAGTGCACGGGAGCTTCAAGAAGTCGTGGCCAGGGGAGACTGGACGGCTATCCAGGGTGGCTTTGTCTCGGTCAAGGTTGGGTTACAGAAATACTACAGCTACGGTGGGGAGCCAAGAAAACCTTGTGCCTTGCCAAAGGGCGAGAAGTTGACAGCGCAGGAGGAAGGATTTGCAGAGTTGGTTGCGACAGAAAAAGCTCTAACAAATTGAATATGGCAGGCAGTATAGAGACAATATAAATTAATGAACGAACACAGAGCACGTGTTTCGCATGCATCCGCGTCATAAAAGTGACCTGTCATTTATTTTCCGGGCGACACAAGCAAGTGATAGAGGGTGCCGCTAAGCGCACAACAGCTCCGGATTAACCAGTTTTATCCATTGTTCGAACCATGGCCTTGGAATCACCCATAGCTGCGGGATCAACGTCGATGTTATATGTATACTTATGGAGTGCGGAGTATGGAGTACAGCTCCTTGCTGGTTAAAAAGCAATGGGCTGCTTAGCTAGACCTGGTACGGATCAACTCTTTCACCAAATGAAGCTCGCTACGTCTAGATGGATAGCTCTATATATTCTGCCGAATGCATGCGTACACATTTCTTTCCCAGCCCCCTTCCTTCTCATACAACGCCCCTTTTCTCGCAACAAGCCTCAGATCATGTATTTCTGTCCCTATACACCCGGGAACTCCGCCAGGACAGGACAGACCTCATCCTGGAGCACCGTAGGTACCCAAACAGATAACACGGTGCTCGAAGACATGAAGCAAGCTACCTAACTTGCCTCTACTACGTACTACCTACTGTAGAAGAAAAAAAATGGCCCTCCTCCACCTCCACCTTCACCACGGCCCCCCCCCCCCCCCCACGTAGCCGTCGTCGTTTGGCTGTTTTGCCCCATTTGTCGCTAACCTGGGTACCGAAATGGGGGGGGGGGGGGGGGGGGGGGGTTTTAATGGGTCATGACCCAAAAAAGGCAAAAAAAAGGAAAAAAAGGCCAATAAACCAACCAGAAACGTTAAAGTAATATTAAAAAGTGTTTTAAAA